CCAGTTCTGTGTGCATAAATAAATCTTTTTTTAAAAAAAGATCGGAAGAGCACACGTCTGAACTCCAGTCACTGCTCGACATCTCGTATGCCACCTGTGGCAAAAAAAAAAAAAAAAAAAAGACCTGACCTGTAGGGAAATGAAGTTAAAAATCAGGCATTTTACACCCTCCTGCTGCTAGTGTGGTTGTCAGGGACCAAGAAGTGTGAATCGACAGTGAACTCACCTCTGAGTACTCTAAAATTGATAGGTAGGAATGGCAGACACTACTTCTTTACTTTCCTGTCATGTTAACATTCTTTTCGTGTGTTAGATTACACAGTCTTACTTGCTAACAATTGCAATATCATTTCCATTACCTACTTGCTGAAATATTGTGGTAAATTGATTTACTTGAGGTTACATAGCACATTGGTAGTAAATACATTAGGTGGGGTTGTTTTTTGTCCAAATTTAAACTTTTTATGCTACTGATGATCTAATAACAGTAGCAAAAATGTACCTAACATCTGCTGGTACCAACACATGTACCAGACGCTGCTAAGCATGCTGGATGCATAATCAATTTTCATACCAATGCTTTGTCAGAGGCTAGGCAGACCGTTTGCCCAGACTGCAAGCTCATTAAGAAGCTAAGACTCAGAGTTTTAGAACTGGATTCTCTGTGACTTCATTTTTACCTAGACCCTGGGGAATGGAAGTTCACATGTATAATATTACCCTTACCCAGAATATAATACAGTGAGGAGATGGAGGAAGGATTGCACAAATAGTGGTAATTGGGCTGTGATTGAGGACAAGTCATCATTAGCTGAACTCTCTAAATCTGAGGCCCAAACAAACAAACAAAAAGAAGTAGGGAAAGGAAAGCAAGGATACAACTTGTCCTGCATCTGTCATTTACATTTCTTACATTCTAAATGAAAACCTTCCGAGTCAGGGCACAGAACTGCGGCTCAGCTGAGAGACAGCAAGGCTACTCTCCACAGTTTACTCACAGCAGTGCTCCATAAAGTGTTCATTAGAAGGCCATTAGGTATAAAGAATAAGAA